TCTCTCTCTCTCTTATTTTCTCTTCTGCATCGCAGATTTTCTGCGTGTGCGATGCACGTTGACTGCGCAAGAGAAAGAGATCGTCTTTTCTCAGAACACCCGACGGCTACCTCCCTAATTACTTCAGGGTTGGATTCCTGTGGGTACCTGGCAAGAGTTCCTTGGCGAGACACGGGATCTGCGTCGTCGCGCTTGGGAAGCTTCACTCGAATTCCAAAGTTCCGCGTTTTCTTAGTCCTCTTCTCGAGTATCCTCACTTTTTCAGCACAATTTTCTACGTTATGGTGATGTTAAATACTACTAGAGATCGAATGTATCAATCGTGTATACTCTGAAAGTACTTTTCCTAATGACAATTTCCGGTATCTATCCGGTGTAATATTTTCGAGTTTTACGAGTTTTATAACTATTTTTATAATCGCGGAGCATAATAAGATATAGTAGATATTTGATGTATTATAATACGAAGTTGATTTATTTATTTTTAATATGTTTAGAACTTATTTAAACTGCTCTTCGTTATACGCTTACTTAAATTCCTCTACTAGATTTTCTTACTTAAAATTTTGCGCATTCGACACTGATGGTTTTCTTCAGTAGCTCTTATTAAAGAGTACTTAAATTCACTCGAAGCAATATTCACGTAGGTATTGCAGCATAATACGCATAATTCTGTTGTAACGACAGTCGGTTATCGAAATCGCTGCCACATGCGCTCGTCGAGTACCGTCGTTATTACGAAACCGCGAGAGTGTCAGGAAGAACTCGAGAGTCAGATCGTGACTTTTCTTCGCGAATAACTTTCCATGCGCGTACCACCGTCAATTTGTCACGTCGCGAAAATTTCTTCAGCTTTCTACGTGTCGTAAGAATGGTCAAAACGTATAAATTATACAGACTGCCGATACCAATTTATCAATTCGGTGTCTCGTCTCTCATTATTCCAATCACAATTTTACTCGATGTTGCCTAAAAACTGAAAACGTATTATCGATAGAATCGGAACGTTCTTAAGTGGAAGCAAAGAAGGATTTCGGAATTTGTCAAAGCACACATATGCGAGCCATTTTAATCGATCCATTAAAACTTTTCAGAACTCTCAAGTTTGAGACCAAATTGTTTCAAACATAAGTTGCTCAACGTAAGGAAGAAAAAAGATAGTGATCTTGGTTAATTATATGAGAAGATCCTCAGATCAAAGTCACTTATAAATTTTTAATAAAAACATCCAGTTTTTATTTCATATTTTTATATCTAACCTTGAGGACAGCTTTTCATGGTCAACAAAGGTCATTATCTTTTTTCATCTGATCAACTTTTGTCGACATTTTGATCTCGAACTTAAGGGTTCTGAAAAATTGTAATGGACTGATTAAAACGACCCACCCTGTATACACATACACATGCTCGCGGTATGTTTGCTCGTAACGGCCGGTGTCGTATCATCCTCCAGAAATAACTCGTGTCCTTTTTCGAGAGGTGAGGTGAGGCACGGTGAGAGGTGAGATCGTCACCGTAAAGACAGCCGTGCGATAAGACCGTGATCGTCGATTCGCGCGGTGTTCGAACGCAAACCGAATTTGACATACGCACGGGCGTGGCCGACGTGGCCTTTAATCCTTTCGCCTCTAATGGCTTATAAACGCCTTTCCTTTCCTCCTGAGGGACACTCCGGAGGCCAAACTGAAAAGAATGTACGGTCGATTCGCGGTGCCGATATGTTTCGAGAGTTACAAGCTGCTTGTCTAATTTTGCCGTATACTGAGAGAAAATGGCATTCATGGCAACGTTGAATAAGCTGCAATGTTGAAGATACGTGTATAGAACATTTTTTATGTCCTAAAGCAACGTGTCAAAGACGTCTTATGTCCCGATTTTAGACGTTGTGTCGTGTGGATTGATACTACTGGAAGATTATTACAGCGCGAAACACATTTAAGACAGAAGCGAACAAGCTCCGCGTACTTATTTCCAGCCAAACGCGGCTTTTCCCGCGTCCTCCAAACAGGGAAAAACGAGAACCGGTGAAAATCGTGTTTCGCAAGCGATGTCGCGCTGCTCGCGCTGTACCGTTGCAGGCGATCGGCACGAAGTCCGGAGTCGCAAAAACGGCGCCGTCTTTCGTAAAGCAGCCTTCGACCACGATGGTCTTCGAGACGTTAAGACACGGCGGTAAGCCGTCATGCATTATTTACCAAACGCCATGGATCGCTGCTCGCAGATGCATTCCGCCCACCGAAATTATGCGAATAGCTCATGCAAATAATTCGAGGAGGTGGCCTCTTCGGCTCGTAACGTTACGATTGGCGGAAGGACTTAAATGAAAAAAGTATTCTGATTTGGAGAGATCGTCAAGAAAGGTATTTTTCCGGAATTTTTTATAGAGAAACGAAAAAGTCGAATGATGTCAAACTTTGCCAATTCTTTTAACTTTATTGTAAAAATATTTTTTTATTGTCTAAACGACAAAAGGAGAACTTCCTCCACTGAAGATCTCCTGAAGAAGTAAAGTGGGATGTTCGTCGGTAACGTCGGTAACGAATCCACAAAGGATTTGCGGCACTAATCCGCAAGCCAGATCGAGAAATCAATGAGGATATTTATAGCTACCAATTAGAAACGTAATTACGCATTTTGTATGTTGTCGCATAAGCGCTACAATTTTTGGTTTTAAAAGAACGCGGAGAATCTCGATTCTTTCGTTTCTAGAGCGACAGGATTTTTATTTCCATCGCACGGTTGATGCGCGACAATTTTACGCACGACTTCATAACGATGCCCGACAATTACCTTCGGATCACGTGGTATAAAACACGTGTGTGTGTGTGTGTGTGTGTGTGTGTTCGCCCGGTAAAAAGTATTAACCGTTCGTTCACGGCGATGCATCACAATTATTTTCTGCCTGAGATATGTTTCCGCGTGCGGTAACGCCTTCAGGTGGTATCACGCACTGTTGCAACCGGAATCTCGGGACTCTTACGTTCACATGAAGCCGATCCGCGAGAGCGTATCCGTTTCTCTAACTGTTCCAGGCAATTCTTTTTTCCTTTGTATCGCTGCCCGAACGAGCCCTCCTTGAATTAGTATGATAAACGGCGCCTATAAATTCTCTCCCCTAATCACCGTAAAATGCGACACAACGGCTGTTGTCTCGCCGTGGAATCTACCGCGGCTTACTATCGCGTAACCCGTTCGTTCTGCTTCATTTTACGACAATAGCACCCGCAAATTTCCCCGCTAAATTGCATACCGCAATATCGTTCGCGCGGTGAGAGGTGCACGCGGATAATTATTTCGCCACCGAGGCTGCACATACCGCACCGGCGAGAACCGTTATCGCGCGCTCGACTTATCTCGCTGGAAAATTCACGGATAATCTCGAGTTGACCCGAAGTCACTCTGTGAAACAAATATCCCGGCTCCGTACGCGGAGCACAGGTGTACGCCACTCGCGCAGCTGCGCCGCCGCCTGTCTAACACGCCTGCATTCCGCATTCTCGAAAATGCTTCTCCCAGGTTCCGGCCCGACGAAGCTCGGCCGAGTGTGAACTCCTCTCCGTGAATGGCCTCTATGCTTCGTGCCTTTATGACATAATAGTTTCACTACGTGCGGCGCACACGCGCGTAGCCGCGCGACGGGACGGGAAGAACCGGACGGCGGGAGCTTCGCGCAAGTTCGTGTAAGAGAAGCGCAGGCGGATCGACCAGCGCGTCGGCGGTGGTGGGCCTGTCCAAAGAGACCAACAGAAATCACACATGGTCCCGATTGTCCCGTGTCACCGGAAGCGACGCGTCATCTTTCTCAAGCGCCTCGCGGCTAACTCTGTGATGATCATCTCCGCTGGACCTCTAATCTGTCAATCTAGCCTTTAGACTCGGTCATGCGTTGATAGATCGTGCTCGCGCTTTGTGCTCATGCTGTGAACTACAGACGCGCGAGAGAGAGAGAGATATGCGGGACTATCCGAGTGATGATCTTGGTCATGGCACGCGTGACCGTAATCGTCAATGACGAATCTTACGAATCTTATTATCGTAATTAATTTGGTACTAATGTCTGTTGTTTCTTTCGATTATAGCGGTACAGTACTGGTAGCTTAAAACTTCCGAATACTCGCCGCGGAACTCTTGGTTGATGACGTCAGAAGCGAGCAAATGATGCATGCCTAAAATTCTTGCCCAAAAGTATATTGAAATAAAAATATATCCAACATATGACACAAACAATTAAGCATACCTCTAAAATACTCCAAGCATTTTCCTGTTGCTCCAATAATCAATAAATAACCGTAAAATTAACATGACGTGCAACCTTTCTTCTTAACCTATCTTTTCTCCTCATTTTGTCACGTTAATTTCACGGTTATTTATTGATTGTTACAGCAAGGAAATCTATTACGCTTTACTATTACCACAGTTACTAAATCTTGTATAAATTTGTTTCATTTTTTCAGCATTTTGGTACAACTGTTTAAAATTCAAAAGAATTCTCGCTCTTTTTATACTTCTACAGGATTTGCATCCAAGTCTGTGAAACGTGATATGTTATGATTTAATGATTTAATAATGATAATTTATGTACTAAGAAAATACAGCGAAAATTTGCTAGAAAGGACTAAAACTTTTGCGCACATTTAATATGTATTTCCTTGTTAGACCGCAACTTGTAAAGAAAAGGAACGCGCGATGTCGCAGCGACCTATAATCCGACGGAAAAGTTACGAGCGGGACTTAACGGGCTTGCTTGTTGCCCCGCTAATTTATCAGACACTCGACTTCGCTCGGGTAGCTTTTTGGGCTCCCTTATTTATCCCTCAGCGAACAAAGTTGTTCGCGCGCCGAACGCATACAACCGATGACGCGTTGGTTGATCCTACGTTCTCGAGAGGTTTTCGAGAGTGAGCAATGTCCGAAGAAACACACTTGAGATCCCGAAAGGCAGAAAGGGAAGAAAGAAAGAGAAAGAAAAAAAAAGAGACGAGGCATGCTCTCGGTATTACCTTGGTATGGAGGAACGCCAGAGACTTGTTTACGTTCTCGATTTTGTGAACTCGCATGCGTCCGTTGTTGGGCTTGGCCAATCGTTCGCCGGAGATGATCTCCAACAATTTGAGCAGCTTCTTGCCATCCGCGAGATCGGTGAACAAATCGTCCACCTCCATACGCGCCTGAAAAAGTCAGATCAAATCTTAATACAGCATAGTCAATGATGAATTTCTATGCTCTGCTTGAAATCTGCGATATTCCATTTGAAAATATAGCGAATCGAGTACTTTATATATAATGACGTTTCGGAGGTATTATATAATTCTAGAGATTCATCGAAAATAACTTCTAGTACCGACGAGATTCTCTGTTAGAGATCATTAAGTAAATTTTCATAACTATAAAAAGGAAAAGGTTCGAAGGTAATTGAAAATGATATTACCGACTATTCACGGATTTTTAGCTATTCAGTATAAATATCTGGATATATAGAATGCAATAAGTATTAATTTTATTAATTAAACGCCGTTGACAGCCTATATACGGATTTTCTAATACAATATTATTATCGAGATATTATTGATAATATTATTATCATTGATATTATTAATTATTGATAATATTACAAAAAGTGAATTTTTTTTCATATAGGCTAAATATCGAAAGGTCTTTACTTTTAGTCGCGTGCATTAGTGCTTTCAATAAAAATTTACATCAGGCTACTTATGAAATGTAAAATTGACTTTTCAGGCAAATGAAGTACTTGTTTACTCTATCTCAGATCTTTGATTATCATAGTACTAGCCGAAAGAGTTGTATTTCTTACAGGGTCACTCGAGTGATATTTACTGAAAAAGAAGGTCAGAGAGAACCTCATTATTTTCTCTCTTTCGACTTAGAACTAAGAATGCGACGGAAAGCTAATCAAGAATTAATAAACTCATTGAGTAATCGTTGCGAAAATATAAGCAACTAGTAGATCTATTTTTGGCAGATATATTAAAAGATACACTACATTTGTTATCTCAGACTGATTCGTTCTAATAAGATTATCGATCGATTCAAACAACGAGTAAATATACAGACTCAATTTTATTATATACACAGATGTACACAAAGACACAATGCCTACCTTCAACAGAAACGAGTTGATCCATTTGGTGAACGTCTTCTTTTGGATGTGCAACCGTTCCTCCTGCAGGGCCTTGATGCGGCCCTGCTCGAACTTTAGAACGTCTTCCCTCTGAGTCATTCTCTTTTGTATCTGCGGACCGCCCCTGTATCTGTCGGCTCTCGTTGGTGGATATGTGGAGTCGTATTCAAAATTGCGAATCCTTCCTTGGGGTGCGGCGCTTGGCCCAGCGCCGGGCACATACTGCGCCCCTGCAACCGAAAGTGTGTCTGCTTTTGGAAAGTCTTCTTCTGTTAGCGTGTTAACATAAACACAGGATACGCAAAGCGGAAACGCAGCCGTAAATGTTCGCCAGATGAAGCCTCGCGTGACGTTTCCTTTCTGGTGAGCACATGTTCCAAAATATTTTTCTATTTTCCCCCTTTTCTGACAAGCGCGCACCGTGGTATTCGTGTGGGGCACATAGGATGTAAATAGACGTCAAAGTTAATTGTCAACAAATCACGAATTCAAGATGCGAAGGATATTTCCTGGATAGTGACGTTTGGGAGCTCGAGCCGAATTAGATCGGGGCTTATGATAGCATATAAATTGACATAACAACCTTAAGATCTAGTGGTGCAACGTTAAAAGGATGCCATACTTGAAAACTTTACCGACAAAACATTTTTTTGCAAAGTTTATGCGCATTGGCTGCACAAAATTATGAGTGCAGAATTAAAGTATGTGCAAAAATAAAATGGAACATTATTCAATATATGTGATGAAAACGATTAAAAAATTTCCAAATCGAAATTCATGTTATGATACACTCGGAGAACATGAAACCTGAAATGCAACTTGCGAGGCTGGGAGAAACGCTTCTCTTTCCACGTGACATCTCTCTTCAGTCGTGATCATTCGATTCAATGAAAGGAAAACTCGAACCATATTGATGTTTTTTATTTTGTATGTGTAAAGTGTGAGACTAAGTGTAAATAACGAATGCACAATTATGTAAAGACACGATACGTGTGATTGAAAATTCTTGTAACTCTGTTTGGAAAACGTTAAAACCATTACGTATTGTATACTATTGCAAATAGTCGAAGTTAACTGTTCAAAGAGGTTGATAAAGTGCGAAAAATATAAACTTTGAGTAAAGAGCGACCTATATCAAGTCTTCCTTTAAAATAGACAAGTCAACAAATCTCTAAAAATACGAATTTTAGCGAGACATACTTTTCGTTCACGCGAGAGCGCTGCGAGGATGCAAATGAAGAGTTAAAGAGGACGAATCACCGGCGTAACCAGTTGATTTAGAACCGACGTATATTTTTAATTGCAAATAATCGCCGAGACCTTGAGAACCCGTTTGTGGGTGTTATATTGTGCTCACGAATTTTATCGCGCTGCAAGCGACCTTTTCGCCAAGTTACATCGTGTACAATCGTCTCCTCGATCGATTCCACATTCCGACTCGTGCGGGGAACAGACATTTCATTGTAATAACCGCCGGACATTGATTCACTGGCCGGATGGTAGTTTAATTGAAAACAAGGGACAAAGCCTCGCATCTCGCGAGTAGCTCCTGTAGCTGATGACCTTTTATTATCTTGAAATATAACGCAGCGACGTTCTCCGCCACTGCAATATTGCGCCGTCAATTCATCGTGACTTATCGAATAGCTATAGTCGATAAAGAAATGTTTATCTATCTCACTCTCGATGGAACTCGACCTCGCCTGATTATAACGTATTGGAATTCTTTCCATTGTTCACAATAATAATAATAGAAACATATGGTACATATATTGGGTTCGACAAGTTCGTAGATATATTTACGAAACATTTAAGACCGATATGTTTACAATTGAGTATAATTTTATTTATTTTTTGTTTCTTTCAACGCTACAGAAAACATTAAATACATTATTAAATAAAATTATGCTTAGCTATAAAAATATAAAAAATGCTTTTGCATTTTAATCCCAACGAATTTATTGAACAATTCAAAATATAAAGATTGTACAAAATAACCTTGTAATATTATACGAATAAAAATAATGTTGCTCCTTTAAAATTTTTGAAGCACTTTTATTAACAGTTACGTTTACTTGACATCTTTTAGAATGTTTTGTCACTTCAGATAACTAAAGATGAGAAAGTTGAGACGAGCCATTCGTTTTATCGTTCTTTCTTTTTAATGTCTGTGCGGGAAAACGATAAGGCGTATCACATAGGAGGATGCGACGGGATTGCCACAGGAGTGAACGTTGTGCGACGCGTTTAGGACGGAAGCAGAAACCTCGACTCTCGCGCGAGAGAGACGAACAGGCAACATCCTTCTCGGAAGTTTGAACGAGCTGTGATAGCTTTTACGAGTAGCAGTATTTGCGCAGAAGGAAGATAAGCGAGAGAAGAGTCGAAAGCTGTACACACCAAAGTCAATATCCGTCGGCGGTGCCGGAGACGCGACAATATTCTCGACGGCTTTAATCCGTATTTACGAGATTACCGGGAGATTAAATTGATCGAAAACGTATGAGCAAATATTGACTGCGCCGCAAGAAAGAACGAAAAATTATGGCTTCTCAGAAGACGAGGCGATAAATTTCGATGGGGATGAATGTGGCCCTGCGTAACACAAATTGACTTTTTCGTGACGACTGTGCTCATAAATATTGTATTCTTGAACAAAACAACTGTCACGCGCCAGCGAGATGAATTTCTTGAATTCTAATTCCATTTTTGAACAACTGTCACCCGCCGGTGAGATGAAGTTTTTTTGGGAAAATTATTGCAAGTCCAGCGCATAGTGGATCAAAATCCTATATTAATTTTTATTATAAAGTTCTTTTTGTGCAGTAAACTCAATTATTTTAGAAAAATGATAGATTTGAGTAATAAATCTTGCGTAGAGAGGTATTTGTTAATTTTTGCATTGTATCTTCCAAAATAATAAAGATAAGAAATTTGTTGTCCTTTCCTTAATATAATATAATAAGAGATAAAATAATAAGCTCAAACTCGAGAAATGTATAAATGTTTTTAAATCCTAATACCAGCGGTGAACGGACACACTCTGATTATCACTTCCCTGTTTGGTTTCCCGTGAACGATGGCTAAAATGCACTGAATTTTCTCCGAAGACGCATTGCTCGTGGACGTCAGGACGCGCAGTCCACATCTCTCACGCGCGACAACCCAATAATAAGAGCAAGTGCACAAACGACCGCGCTGCTCGAGGCAGCGACTCGTTTCTTGCGGGGCATTCGTGACTCGGCGGGATTATTGTCCTCGCTTATTGTCACCGGCCAGCGCCATATAGTCGCTGTCGTAAGTTTTTTCCAGGCCTCTAAAAGGACGCACGAACGTGAACGCGAATGCGATTCGTCGGTCCGGCGCGAAAGAAAGGGAACGACACGCGAAAAAAGCACGCGCAACTTTGAAGTGTCAATTATGGCAGCTGCGTGCAGGCGACTGCACGTGCAGGACGATAGTTAATGTGCGCCTGCACGTGCGAGACAATTCCGTTTCCATGCGATTTAGACAACCGCACAACCTCTGTCGCTTGGAGCTGTCAATTTGTCGAACGTGGTCCTAGTTTTTTGCACGTTTCGTATTCTTTTAAAAATTGTGATCAAACTTGAAATGCTGACGGAGATTATTGGAGTTATGGTTATACCTAGAACTAGAAGTATCGAAATTTCGTGAACGTAGATTCGATGATACATCTTGAAAAATAAAGACTGGAAACGAGAGAATCTACATCCGAAAATTAGATTTTTATTGTATTTTATTTATATTTTAATTATATTGATAGTGTATATACATAGTAGTATGATTAGATTGTCGTTTTATTAGTTTTCTAAATGTTTACTATCAAGAGAAAAATATGAGACACATAATGTGAGGTGAAAGATATGAAGTATCGAGACTAATTATCGAGAGAAAATGCAAGAGAGATCTGTTGGAAGACACTAGAACTCATGGTGAACTTGGTTAACGTGCAAGAGTGTAAGTATTTAATTAACGTGGCGTGTGAGTTTGAAATTTAGTGTATTAAATGGGAAGTCACAGACAGGGAAAATGATGTAGGAATGAGTGCGTAGATAGTGTGTAAGTGAAAACGAAATAAGATGTTAAGTAGGAAAGCAGGTTTCGGGGCGGGAAAAGTGCACAGATAATAGAGGTTATAGTGCCATAAGGAAGAGGTAGTTAGGATAATGTAGATAATGCAGGCAAGCTTAAATTAGTATGGTAATGCAAAGGACATTATCGATAGGGGGAATGGTACAATAATAGGTGGTGATAGAAGACAGAAGTACATAAGGAATCGAGGAAGAACAGAATACAAGAAATGAAGATGAAAGGTATCAGATAGGATAAAGAAGCAAAATAAAAAGATAACAGGAGGATTGGTGAGACAGGTGCAAAGAGAAGGTGCAAGTAAGAAAGGCGAAATGTAAAAAACAAAAGGAAAGTTATAGGATATAGAAAACTGAAGAAAAATATACCAGAATTAAAGGACACAAGCAAATGGTTTAATTGACATTTTCAAAATTGCAGTTTTCAGGATTGTGTTAGTTATTTGGATTGTCAAACCTTCGTAAAAGGATGACGCGATAAGAAGCTTACTGAAATTGATATTGATGATGCAAATTGCTAGCAGAAATCTAGAATCCGCGAATGCATTCATATTCGAGAGTAGACTTTCAAAAATAAAGATTGGAAGTGAAAACCTATGTTCGAAAATTACATTTCATTTATCTTAATTATATTGATAGTATACATAGTAGTGTGTGATTAAATTGTCGCTTCATTAGCGTAATGAAGTCGATGATGCAAATCGCCAGCAGGTGGAAAATCCTCGCCATTGAAAAATCATAAACGCGTTGGTGTCTCCCCGTGAGGCGACGGGGAGGCTGATTCGCGTTTTGGAGGAACAAGGACGCATGTCGCCAGTGTGTTAAGGGATACGCTTTCACAAGCTGACGGAATTCGTTTGCATGCGCGGGGTTTTAAATGTCACGTCTGGTTTGCAGCCGCTCGTGTCACGCCCGGATGTTAACTCGCCGCCTATGGCTCGTTTCGAAAGTGGATTAAGCGCGACGTCTTCGCAACGATTTGCGTTTTGAGCGACGCGCTTTCACGCGTATGGACGCGTCATCCACGAAAGTACGCGATATAGAAGATCTACGAGATCTGTAAATTCGCGATTTCTCGAATTTTCAAGTAACGGAGTTACTTGTTCTATGATCTAGATTCC